CCGTCAATCCCCTGAACAAGCCCTTGTGCCCTTCTGTTTGATAGATGTTCTTCAGGGCGCCACGGATGCTCTCATAGCCATACTGCCCACTCTACAAAGTACAGGTAAGACCAATGACTCCCACAGGAAACCTTGCACTTAGAACTGAAAGGATGTTGGGTGACATGCACCCCAGGGTTTGGAGTCACCCATGGCCCACTTTGTGTTCTGAATTAAGTTTGATAATCACAGACTCTGCCCCCAGCCACTTCCCCCACCAAAATCCCCTTATATTTATTTTGAATATACTCATAGACCTACCTGTTAACTCCCCCAAAAGGTCCATGAGGGCAGGGACAATTTCATTTTTGTCTGTGTCCACAATACCTAGCACACAGTAGACACTTACTAATAAATGCCTGGTGATGGACAGATCACAGATTTAGAGCTGGAAGGGACCTTAAGGGTCATCTAATCCAACCCCCTCATTTTACAGATAAGGAAATGGAGGCCCACTGAGGTACAGTGACTTGCCCAAGGTCACCGAGGCCATAAGTAGCACAGCCTGGATTCTAACTGAGATCCTTGGTTTCCAAATTCAGCCCTGTTTTCATGGCATCCCAATCATATGATCCAGTGTAAAGTTATAAACCTGCCTGAGGTTCAGAGAACCTCATGTGCCCAGCACATGTTCCCAGGGCCTTTCCTCAATAACCCTAATGCCACAGGGACAGTCACATTCAGCATTTAGCTCCAAAGCCAAAGACTCACCTCATACCTTGCCTTGACCACAGTGATGGGTAACAAGCAGACCCCTGCAACAGCCCGGGAGCCAATACCCAGCATGACAGACTGAAGGGCTGTAGGGGGCTGCCCCAAGAGAAAGTACTGCTTCATGCAGTAGAGGGTCCCAAAGTAGATCCCGACTCCAGGGACACATCTTGCAATGGACTGTAAAGAAGGGGGTGAGAACAAAAAGAAGAGCCAGGTTGAACCCTGCCTCGGCCTCAGACACAGACTACAGCACTGATAGATCTCATGGGCATTTACGTGTATTATAACACGCCCAAAGCACCTTCTGCAGAGGCAGAGTGGAGAGAAGTGCCCTTGAAGGCAGGACGATCAGGGGACCCCTGGCCAAGTCATTTGACCTCCATGTGCCCCAACTTCCAGAAAGGTGCTCATACGAATTCGCAGAGGATGAATACTCTCAGATACTTCCCAATACCCAGGACATCGTGGCCCTGGCCTGCTCCAACCCGGCAGCACCAACATTTATTAACTAAGCGAAGAGTCAGTTTTTCAGTCATCTTTTCAGCAGAGAAGGCAGTGATAAAATGGGAAAACCCAAGAAGATCACAGGGCTCTCCCCCCCCCCCCCCCCCCCCCCGACCCCTAGTTCACATGTATATTTAAATAGTTCAGTAGAAATATCTAATCATCAAAAACTGGTGCTCAAGATCCAAGACAAGCAGAAGCTTACTGGAGACATTCCTTTCCAAAGTCCCAGCAGACTCTCTGTGCGAACCACCTTGCATAACAAAGAGACCATTCCAATGCGTTTAGACCTGAAAGAAGAGACAAAAAGACAGAAAGTTAAGAGTCACTATTTAGACAGTATCTCCACAAAAAAACAAACAAACCGCTTTTCAGAGACATCATGGTATAAACAATTATCTTTGCATAACCCACGACATTTGCAGTTTCATATAATTTGACCCTTAGTACCCATATTTACACAACTATATGGAAACACACGCACGTATAGAGTCACACATTGTCTTGTGCTGCTCTCTACTATCTCAGTGCAGAGATTTTGTCTACCTAACTATACAGCAAACTGCTTAAAGGTTAGGACAAGCATTAGGTGTTCCTTAAGGACCTATTCGCTGACAACCACTTCCCACCTGACCTGGTCAGTGTCACTAATTATATGAAAGTCTCTTGACAATGAATTCATTGGCAAAAATGTGAAATGTCATCCAAGGGTACAGCAATCTAACTTGATGAATGCCCCACATAAAGGAATGCAGAGCTGGTGCGAGAGGCTGACCTCCAAGGAATCAGCATTGGGAAAAGAAAATGGGGCAAGGGACCGAGTCTGTGCTGGACTCAGTAAGCACGGCCTCGTTGTTAATCAGATCATGACAACGTGAAACAAGAATACCAGCATCAAGATATGATGAGAGAGATGGAACTATTTTCTCTGTTATAAACGTACACTAGGTGGACTTAGGGTTAAGATAAAGGAACTCAAGTTCTAAATGGGGGTAGGTGGTAAGAATATGTTAAGACATGAAGCAAGATTACAGAATTTTGCCAAGAAGCTTTAGTGTTCAACCAACCCAAAAACATTTATTAAGTGCTTACCTTGTGCCAGATTAAAAAAAAAAATTACTTGAATGTGAGATATCTCAGCTGACAAAGAAATTGGAAAATAAAGTAAAAGCAAAGCAACAAGTTTCAGAGAATTATTTTTGTTTGTTTTTGTTGGGCAATGGGGGTTAAGTGACTTGCCCAGGGTCACACAGCTAGTAAGTGTTATGTGTCTGAGGCCAGATTTGAACTCAGGTCCTCCTGACTCCAGGGTCGGTACTCTATCCACTGAGCCTCCTAGCTGCCCCTTCAAAGAAGTTAAAATGTTCATACTGTAGATCTAAAGAGAGAGCTAAAGACCAAGAAAAAGAAATTCATCTTGATATAAAAGAACTGTAAATAGAAACTCCAAAGGAAATAGCTACATTAAAACAGTGGCTCAAGGGTATAAAAGCCCAGCTTACTTCCCGGTCAGCAAAGAGAGCCCCAGAAAAGGTATTGCTTTGAGTAAAATCAGGCCTAGGATGGAGGAGGAACCCAGTTAAGACAAGATAGAGAGAAGTAAACCCAGAGACAGTACCTTTCCTGCCTAAAACCTTAGATATGTAGGGTAAGGAGACAAGCCACAGAGTTTAGAAATATGGGTATTGAACCCAGATTATCAATCACCTTGGGTACAGATGTAGAAAATTCAATAGACCACAAAAGAATTAGAAGTATCCAACCTATAAATAGGCTTAACTGTGATTTTACAGGAAAAATGGTTACCCATTAAGGTAGATATAGGCAATTGCTGAATTATATGTAATGTTGCTTTGTATTTTTTCACACACACACACACAGGCGGTGAAGTAAATAGAGTGCTAGGCCTGAAGTCAGGAAAACTTATGCCTTTATGTTCAAATCTGACCTCAGACACTTAACTAGGCAAGTTAATCTACTTACGCTTCAGTTTCTTTATCTGCAAAATGATCTGGAAAAGAAACCGGCAAACCACTCCAGTATCTTTGCCAAGGAAACTTCAAATGGGGTCACAAAAAATTGGACATGACTGAAAAATGACTGCACATGCATGCAGGGTCATGCATGTCTCATATTTAACTATTATTATTATTGCTAGTTTTGTATACGAAGCAACCCGTGTTGCATTCAACGTGTGTATTGAATAGAATATTAATATGGATTTGATGTACCCTAAAATGATTTTCAGGGATGTAAAATTTTTGCTTCAGAGAGATACGTAACACCAGCTTCACCAAGTCTCTCACTGTTCCTGTTTCTTTAAGAGACAAAGGTATTTTGGACAGCTACAATTTAACTGTCATTTTTTTGAAGAGTTTGTTAAGAGACTGAGAATTTGACTTGTTCTGGAAATACTGTTAACTTGTAATGGCTTGAGAGAAAACTGAGAGGATGGGGAGAAAGAACCTCTTTCCTAAGAGAACTATATGAAGTCTTAACTTTCAAAAAAACAAAAAAGCAAGAAGAGACTTTAATTGTTATCTTGAGAGAGCTGAATGGTGGGCCTGTGTTTCCAGAATTGAGAAGTCGGCAACAACAGAGATGGAAGAGGTGATTTTGGTTGTGCTATTACTCACAACACATACGTTCTAAATAACTGTTCTGTTTTATTGTCAATACCATTAATATTTCTTTGGCTAACAAATGATATTTTTTTAAAGCCAGACAATCATGGGGTTTGATAGAGAGGTAAGAAAAAGTTTATAGGGAAAGTTTCTATTGTTTATTAATTAACATTTAATAAACTAAGGGTGCAGGTTAGAGCTAATTGATTATTTAGTGAGCAATATTGCAGTTTTAGTAATCTGAACGTATCCCTAGATTGACAAAGTCAGATGAAAACTAATAAAGAAACCGAGGGGGCAGCTAGGTGGTGCAGTGGATAAAGCATTGGCCTTGGAGTCAGAAGAACCTGAGTTCAAATCCAGTCTCAGACAAGTAACACTTACTAGCTGTGTGACTCTGGGCAAGTCACTTAATCTCAATTACCTCACCCTCCCTCCCCCAAAAAAAGAAATTGAGCTAGTAGCAGATAGAGGGGTGATCACCCCACATACATTATACTTGGAATAGTCAATGTATTTAAACCCCTGCTGCAATCATAAAAAGCAACTCACTAACTGGAGGCTAGGAGCTAATCAGAAAATAATTTCACACAAAATAATGGTTACTAAAAGAAAACGGAAAAGAAAAATACAAAAAGTGCTAGTGGAAGTTACATAGTACTAGTGAAGGTAGTATTTTTCTGCACAACACCTGGAACCGAAAAGGTCTTTTAATACTCAGAGGATTCTTCTTTCTACAGAGTTGTTGAAACCTACTTCTAATTGGTAAGATGTACAGACAGTTCTTGATTTATAATAAGTGGACTATTCTGAAGACCTCTACACAAAGCAATTTTTAAGGAAATTTACTTGAGGATTTGGTAAAGGGATGGAGGGGGGCAGGCAGGAAATGCAGATTTCTTTCAGAATTCCTTCCACAGAGTCGAATTTATTTAATACAAATTTACATCAAGCAAGACCTGTCTATAATTAGCAGTGATAGCAATTAGTAGGGAGCACCTACCCATGGTGTGCTGGGAGAGACTGCAGTCGGGTTTTAAGCAGATCCAAAGGTTGAAAAAGAAGAGCAGAACAGGTCCCACCGATGGAACCACACAGAAAGGCCTTTATGGCAGGATGCAACTGAAAGACAATTGAACATCATGATGCAAATGAAGAACAAAAAATCATCACATAAATTTATAGGAACTCAACCTCTTCTTTACTCAAAAACTAATACTACTGAATCTTCTTTTCAAAATATTATTATCGACATTATTTCAAGAACTTAAACAGAAATGAAAGATCAGAACTCGTTACTTGATTACCACTTTACTATTCTCTATTACCAAAAAAAAAAAATCCTTAAGACCCTCCCCCAAAACCCAAGACATCATTCTTATACTATCCTCCACAATCACTTTTTGTTTTTGTGCTTTTTTTTTTCTTTTGGTGAGGTGATCGGGGTTACGTGACTTGCCCAGGGTCACACAGCTAGTAAGTGTCAAGTGTCTGAGGCTGGATTTGAACTCAGGTCCTACTGACTCCAAGGCCAGAGCTCTATCCACTGCGCCACCTAGCTGCTACGTACAATCACTTTTAAAAACCATTTTAAAATCAAAAAAATCCAACATCTTAGTTTAAATAATACATCCTTTCTTCATTTCTCCATTTACTAATAAAAAACAAAACAAAACGCTTTTTCCTCCCATCACAATTTCTAAATTGATCAGTCATCCCCTATAGACCAAAAGTCTCTATATGAGTTTACTACTTCTAACAGTGCCAGCAGCTACAGATATCACCAAGTCAACCCTCCTTGAAAGGTTACTTTTTGATCCAGTCTGATAAAGGGGGCAATAAAACATATCTTACTGTTTCTGCCAGCTATTAGCTCTGATACAATGGGTCAGGAAACCTCGTGCAGGGACAAATTACGTTATACACAATTTAGCTTGAGCCAGCCAGTGATAACTAGTATGAGACCTTTGCAGTCATGCTCACAAGATGGCAAATAAAAGCCATGTTTTTAACCTAAGCAGAAAAGAACCTAGCTTCAGCAGTCAAGGACCTGTGATATCACTGGTGCAGACTGTAAACTGCACATAACTTTGTAGGTTCAGAAAAATTAAGTAACTTGCCCATCATCATACAACTAATAATAATCAAAGTGGGGATCTGAACACAGGTCTTTCTATCTTCAAATCCAGCTAGTATTTATATACTGGCTTTAAGGTAGGCAAAGTGCTCCACACGTAGCTTCACAACAACCCTGGGAGGCAGCCACTATTTTATTCCCATTTTACAGATTAGAAAATTGAAGCAGAGGGTTAGTGATTTGCCCAGGGTCACACAGCTAGAGACAGGGTTTGAACTCTACCCTTCCTAGTTCCAGGTCCAGACACCAAGCTACACAGTGCCTCTCTTAACATTTAGACAGTTCTTTATTGTTGGTAAAGTGCTTTCCATAAAGTCCTATGAGTCTCCTGATAGCTCTTTAAATACCACAGGCATCACTACTTCCATCTCTAAATGAAGTAACTGAGAGACGCTCAACATGACTGAATGGCCCATGATTACATAGGTCTATACAGTTCCTATGTGAATGATCCACTTGTTTAGATCCTTCTTAAACTGTGGGTTTAAGAAGTGGAAAAAGTTTAAGAAGGCCTAGCTTAGAGGCAAATGTGTCACAAGATTCTTGGAAACAACCACTTTAAGGGGAGCGATCTAGTCATTCCAATAGGTCTGTGTTATCTCAACACCTTCAGCAGATCCCTAGAAGGCAGAAGAAGCAATACGTGCTTGGAAAATTAATGAACTGCGGCAGCTAGGTGGAAAAGCCGACAGAGTGCTGGACCTGGAGTCAGGAAGACTCACCTTCCTGAGTTCAAATCTGGCCTCAAGACACTTATTAGCGGTGTGACCCTGGGCGAGTCACTTAACCTGGCATACTACTCCAGTATCTCTATTATTTCTGCCAAGAAAACCCCAAATGGTCATAAAGAATCAGATATGACTGAACAACAACAACAAAATTAATGAATATTAAGTTTCTGATATGAGGTGAGACTAAACAAATACATTTAAAAACCACATTAGGACTCTTACATCCAAATGAAAGCTGTCTCCTCTTAAACAATAACCTTGGGAGACCATACATTAGAGTTATCTGTGATACAACCAAGACTGTCACTGGTCAAAAGTTCTGATAATTTCTTTAGAATGGCCTTTACAATCTTAGGCCCATTTTTCTCTATTTCCTCAACAGCAGACTTTTAGCTTTGTAAGGATATGGATTGGACATACTTTTTTGAAAGAACCAAAAAGCCTCCAGAATCAAGCCTGAATAAAATGGTCAAATCGGGTAATACTCTTTTGAGGTTACTACACAGATGAATTTAGAGAAAGCTATTCTGGTTCAATGATAGGAACCCTGCATTTGAAGTCAGAGGACCTGGGTCTGCCATGTGTGGGCCCTGCAATGAGTCACTTAGCCTCTGAGGGACTCAGGCTAAATTTCTTCCTCTATAAAGTGAGGAGATGAGAGCTGGTGGTGAAGTGGACAAGGTACCGGGCTTGGAGTCAAGAAGATCCAAGCTCAAATCCAACCTCAGACAGTAGCTGCGTGACCCTGGGCAAGTCACTTAACCCTGTCTGCCTCAATTTCCTCCTCCGTCAAATGAGCTAGAGAATGAAAGGACAAACCACTTTCTTTGCTAAGAAAACACCAAAAGAGGTCACTCAGAGTCAGACACAACAGGAAATGACTAAACAACAACAAATTGAGAATCCAGAGCAGCCCCAGTCCTCTCCCCTTTTGGCTCTTTTTTTAAGGCTCAGCTCTAGGCCTACCTCCTCTGTGAAGACCGCCCCCCACCCAATGTTTCTATTTTGCTTTAAAGTTTTGCAGAGTTTGCAAATATCATCTCATTTTATCCTCACAACAGTACTGGAAATATGTGTTATTTTACAGATGAGGAAACTGAGGTACAAGCTAAGTGACTGATTTGCCCAGGATCACACTTCCAGTAAATGCCTGAAGCTACATTTGAACCCAGATCTTCCCGACTTTAGGTCTCTGGTTCTATCCAGGAAGTCACTTCCCAACCCACTGCCCCCACCATCCCTCCCCATCACTGAAATTTAAGGTTGGTTGCCATTTATCAATCCCCTACAGTGTGCAAGGCACCATACTAGAGGTCTTAACCTGGGGTCCAGGAATATATTTCAGCGGGTGTGTGAACTTGGATGGAAAATGAAAATGTCATCTTTCTTCCCAATAAGCTCCAACTGAAACATGCTTTCTTTCTTTCTATTATTTAAAACCATGATTCTGAGAAAGGGACCATAAGAAGCTTAGGTGGTATCTAGACCAGCTGTTGGGAAAAACCAGTTCAAATGTGGCCTCAGACACTAGCTGTGTGACCTTGAGCAAGTCACTTAACCCCAGTCTGCCTCAGTTTCCCATCTGTAAAATGGAAGTAATAATAATCCCTACCTCCCAGGGTGGTTGTGAGAGTCCAATGAGATACTATCTGAAAAAGTGCTTAGCCCAGTGCTCAGCACATGATGTTTCTGCACTGTCTGACTCTTCCTGACCCCATTTGGGGTTTTCTTGGCAAAGATACTGGAGCGGTTTGCCATTTCCTTCTCCAGCTCATTTGACAGATGAGGAAACTGAGGCAAATGGTTCAGTGACTTGCCCAGGGTCACACAGTAGTGTTTGAGGCTGGATTTGAACTCAGATGGGGGAGTCTTCTTGACTCCAAGACCAGCGCCCTACACACTATGGCGCCCCCTAGCGGCCAACGTGTTACTGACAGTAGTAAAGCGCTATAGCAAAGCCCATTGTCAATAAAGCCTCTCTTCCACGGCACCCCACCCCCCGGGCCCGAGCACACAGTAGGTGCTTAACAAAGGAGGCCTCACTCTCCTCCTCCACCCAATGGGCTCAAGGGCCCATGACTGGGGGCCTCCGGACCCCTCCTTGCTGGGCAACACGGACCCCGGGGGTGGGGGGTGGGGTTCTTTCCTCCGCATTCCTCCTCCCCCTCCCCCCCACCTTCCCCTCCCCTGAGAGGAGGGGGAGGCCGGCCAGGTCCCAGGTGCTCACACACCCACCCCCATCAAGAACTCGAAGAGAACCATCCTCAGCCTAGGAGGAAGCGCCAGGCCCCGGCCGACTCCGCCTCCGCCAATCCCGAGAAGGCCAGAGAAGTTCAGCCAATCAGAAGGCAGAGGCGAGCAACAAGGCGTGACCTTGCCCCAGCGGGAGGGGCTGGGAGAAGAGTCAGAGGGAAGTGCAAGAGGCCAGGTGGTGGGGGAGGGGTGGGGGGGCCCGGCATTTCGGGCAAGCAGAGACGCCTGGGCTCTAGCCCTCCCACGTGCCTACTGGAAAGAAAGGGCAATGTCTCTGAAAGCACAAGTCCATGTTCATCATTAAAGCTACCGACATGTACATGACAGCTACTGTGTGCTAAGTGCTTCACAAACTCACAACCACCCCGCCAGATGGGTGCTATAATCCCCGTTTTGCAGATGAGGCAACTGAGGCAAACAGAAGTTAGATGACACGTCCAAGGTCACAAAGATTTAGAGAGCTCTTTAAAAATCTCATTTGATTCTCACAACAATCCTGGGAGACTGGTGCTATTATTATCCCCATTTTACAGATAAGG